ATTTTATTAAAGCCATTCTGACCCAGATATTCGTAAATGAGCCCGAAGTCATTTTTCCTCATCTTTTTCTAATGCCATGCATTTCAAGCACCGGGTGGCTCTTTCAAGATGTTTTTTCCACATTCGGATGGAAAGCAGAATGTATAACTGAACACTAAATGACTATAAAGTTCTTCCTGGTGCGGGAATCTTCAATGGCTAACTTCAAAGTGGATTTTAATTAAACATTTAGCCAAAACATCTCCGAAGTAACTCACCAGAATTGCGGACGACGAAGAAACGTATTCTGTTTAAATCGTGGAAGTGTAGAGAAAAAAAGCACTTTAGGACGCTTTTTCGAGTACAGATCCTTGTTGGTTGCTTTAATAACGTGAGGTCACGTCGCAGAAATATTGGACATTAAAGAGACGACTGGACAAGCCCTGGAAGGACAAAACTAGCTGACGTTGTTGTCGAAAGAAAAATTTCCGCGTGACAAACGCCCAGAAAAAATGTGCAATTTGTGCGTCAAGTCTAGTTTATTGGACTTGATTATTAAGGATGGGTTTGCTGGGAATTAATGAAGGGAAACTCATGAGTTTTTAGCTAAGGCCCTCCTGTTGAGCGTGTAAAAATTCCCAGTTGCTACCCGTATGATTCAGGCAGTTATGATTTTTTCTTTAGTTGCACTGCAACTTAGTGGGCTTATTAAAAGGCAGGCGCATCTGCAAGAGCTTCACAAAATTCGTGTGCTACTGGGATTGCCATCAAAATTTGCCAAGGGTTTTCACAGATTGTGTTTTTCAGCGTGGCAAACTTTCAAGTTGCTACCTGCAGAACTTTGTCGATTAGGTTTGTTTTTATCTGCACTGCAGTAAGATTCTTAAGTTTCAGCTGCATGCTTCAAGTCGCTTTGCATCTTAATCAAGTTTCGCTAATGTGACCGAACATATTTCGACCCAGGCTGTTAAGATTTCAAGTTGCTACCTGCACTATTTTGGAAACTATATCATTTTTAGCTGCACTGCAAGTTAGAGCGATCCTCAATTTCCAGGTTCATGTTCAAAAGGCCTCTAAAATTCAATTGGGGCTCGGATTTTCAGGAAAATGCTTCAAGGGTGACCCAAAGGATGTCTTCTGCTTGTCGCGAAATTTCAAGTTGTTACCTGCACTATTTTGGAAGTTGTGCTTTTTTTGGCTGGGCAATTTAGTCGGATTCTCGAAGTCGTTTCAGGTGAATGATCAAGCGGGTTATACAAGCTAAGTGCTACCCGGATGTTAATCAAATTTCCTTAACAGTTACCCAAAGGACTTCTTGTACGTGTCTGGAAATTTCAAGTTGTGACTTGCTCCACTTTGGGTGCTATCAGTGTTTTAATGGACTGCAAGCATGTAAAAGTTGTCAATTTGAGGTTCGTACTGAGGAGCTTCTGAAAAATAAGGCGCAGCCCCAATTTCCGTCAGTTTTCAACAGTGTTTGCTCAAAGCCATTCGTTTGAGTCCTTCCAAATTTCAAGTTGTTGCCTGCAATAGTTTGGCAGATACAATTTTTTGCTTAGCGGCACTGCAAATCCATCCTGGCCATCAGAGCGATGCTGATCAGCTCAGAAAATCGGGCCCAGATGGAAATGCACCAAAAAACCCTCATAATAGTTCCAACATAAATCAGTTTGGTATTATGCGGAAACACGAACGTCCATATTAAACTTGATGGACAAAAGTTAGCGGTCGAACATTGATCCGTCTTGTGCCGGCCATACTAAACACGTATCCAGCGTGTCAGAGCTAATAAAGCGTATATTGAGCAGAGCAGCTCTACTCGTTAAGAGCATCAGAGCGGGTGTCACTCACGCGTAAGGCCCTCTCTCGTAAAATCCGCATGGACAGCCGGTTACTCTGCCTCACTTCATGCCACCCTTTGATCCACTTAATTACGCCATCACATCGGCTACTATCTTGAGGCCCAATTGTTATTGGACGGACAGAATCGGTCTTTGGTTTATCGGGGATTAATAATCCATTAAGCGCTGCTGGTCAGCGCTTTAAGCAACTAAAAAACTGCTCAGATCATGCTTACCCTCTCGCTTTGCGAGCTTTGCTTGATTTTATGCGTCTTGTACCCTAAGAGAATGCGAATTATTTATGCGAATCACGTTGACAATTTCAGCACTTGCAGTGCTGCAACTGAAGCTGCCGCTTTTGTCGAATCTTTTGCTACTAAAACCGGAATGTGGCTTTCAGCTTGCCATGAAATAATTAGTTTTGTTTATCGTTTGGCAGCCTTCTGCAAGATGTTCCCTCTGCAGCCGAAATAAAATTCGCATTTCAACTTGAAAGCAGATGCAAGCACAGACGGGGAAACGTGAGCCAAACATGCAAACTTGACTGGCAATATCACATGCCTCAGAATTATTTTGATTTTTTTGCAAACTTCTTTTTGGGTATTTCGCCTCGAAAATTTTTGTCTTTAAAAAAGACAGAATTTCCTCACGTCTTTTATTGCAGATTGATAAATAGTGCTCCTATTTCGCAAT